AATAGACTCATTTATTTCTCAGAATTTAGTTTGGTGCTTGATACTACCCACAAATGTGGGACAAACACAATGTCCTTGAGGCCCTCATCCCATTCTTGTCTGAACATTGTCCACAGGCAGTTCAGCTCATCAGAGGTCCAAAAGAAATTTCCGAACCTGGGCCAGGTATTTGGGCTTCAAGTAGTCACCCAGCTCCTCCTTACTGACCCACACATGCTGGCCCTTCTTCCCGGCCTGGGAAAAGTCTCCAGTTAGTAGTAATGCTTTGAAGAAGAATACTTTGGCCCCGAGGTTACTCTCTGTCCGCATTGCCTGGGGGAACTTGAACTTGTAGTGCCCACAGGGCGCATTTCCTAGGAACTTGGCTTCCATGTTGTTTTCTGAGAGGGGAAAAAAAACAGAATTGGAAGAGAAGGATACATGGATCTGTTTACTCTGGCTCCCAAAATCATAGGGGGTGTCTGCAAAATCTGGGTCTAAGGTAAAAGCAAACTGCAAGAGTGAGGACTAGGGCCATTCCTGAAAAGTCTCCCCCTTCCCAATCCAAATGCTTCCTGGCCATTGAGTTCAGATTCACTGGGTTCATTCTCATATGCCAAGCTACTGCTCTTAGAATGGAAGTCAGCAACACAGTTAATATAACACTATCTGAGAGTCAGAGCACCAAGAGTCCACATTCATTCAGTCTGTCACTAACTGAGAGACCAGGACACTTGATCCTTAAAGTAAAGTTAATTCATCATAAACACAGTTAAAAGACAAAAACAGATGGGTAGACAATATCTGTAGTCTGTAACTAAAGGTTAATAACCCCAACCCAGCATTGAAAAGGAAAGAAAAATGATGGACTAATTACTAAGAGACATCTGAAGAACTGGTTAGCTAGATGCAAAAAATAAAGCTAGGTCTCATGCTCAGTCCTCACATCAAAATGATCCCATACAAATCAAAGATTTCACAATCAAAATTTTAAAATTTCATAAAAGATTTGTTCATTCTGGAGGATGGTTTCATGGACATTTAATATTTTCTGAATTCTTCTGTATTTTTAAATTTTCACTAAAAAAAATTCCATAAGAACATTAGAAGAAAATGTGGGATATTTTCTATTCCTTAAGAAATTATTTGACAGGGGAAAGCCTTTCTAAGCAAGAAACAAAATTAAAAAAAAAGAGAGCGAGAGAGAGATTTATTGACACAAAAATTAAGTCTTTCTATAAGGAAAAATGAAACACAAGAAAAGCAAAAGACAAACTAGAAAAAATATTTCAACACATTCAACAAAGGAATATTTTTAAGATACAAGAAGCACTTAAAAATCAATACTCAGGAGGCTGAGGTGGGAGGATCACTTGAGCCCAGGAGTTCAAAGCCAGCCTAGACAACATAGCAAGACCAAGTTTCTAACCAAAAAATTTTAAAGACCCAAAGAGGGGGGAAAAAAACAACAAATTCAAAAGAAAAATCAACCAAGCACATGAACACTAAGTTTACATGAAAAAAAAAAAATCAATGGCCTATAAATACATTAAAAAGTGTTCAATCTTATTAATAATTAAAGAAATAAAAAGTTAAATAATAATAATATACCATTATTAGTGAAGTTTAAAAATTTTAAGTTGTACACTGCTTGTGAAAGACATAGGAAAAACTGGTTCATATGTATTGTAGGGGGTATAAATTAGTGTAACTGCTATTAACTGGCAAGAGGCATCAATTGTACATACCCTCTGACCTTGCACCCTCACTTCTAGAACTCTGTCCTACCAGATATACCTATTTTCCTGTGTGCACGTGCACAAGGATGTTCACTGCAACTTTACTTGTAATAACAACAGACTGGCTAAACAAACTGCAGTACATACATATTATAAAACAATATGCTGTTGCTAAAAAAAGCTAGATCTTTATAAGCTGACCTGGAAAGATGTTCAAAGCTGTATATAAGGAAAAGAGAAGATATTTAACAGTGTCTATATATATTGGCCCATTATATGGAAAAAGAGAAACATAAAATATTTATGTGTTTGCATATGGACAAAAAATTTCTAAAAAGACACACAAAAGAAAGTTAAGAGAGATTGCCTCTAAGAAGGGAAAACTACTTCTTACACTATATTTAACAGACACAGTTTTACAATTTTTCACCTTACACATGAATTGCTTTTCTCATATTAATAAAAAAACACTACTAGCATTATATGAAGAATTTATTTACGGTATGAGCTCATGTACAATAAAAGATGTTAGCAGTGGGTCTCTGTAAATGGTGGAATTATATAGGCATATTTCCTTATACCTTCCTGAATTTTTCAAATTTAATTTAATAAATGTATGTTACTTTTCTATAATCTGGAAAAGATGGATTAAAAAACATAATCAAACTAAAAAGAAAAAACAGCTTATTACAAACATAAGCAAAGGATCTGAATAAGTAGTTCATGAAAGAAGAAACACAAACAGCCAATAAAGATATAAAAAAGATGGTCAATCTCACAGAAAAATGCTAATAAAAAAGAGATCATTTTTAGGCAAAAGTTAAAAAGAGACTATCCCATATGTTGGTGAGGTCTAGGCAAATAGGCATTCCCATACACTGCTCCTGAAAAGTGTCAATTGTCATATGCATTCTGGAGGACAACTCGGCAGTACCTATCAAAAACTTAAGTATATATACCTTTAATTCATTAATTCCATCTCTAGAAATTCCATCTTGCAGAAATATGGAAGTGTGGCACCAGCAAGGAGGAAAGAAAAACTTTCACTTTTTAAATACACAGTATGCACTCTTACATTGCTTGAACTTTTCTTTGCCATTTTATTATATATTATTTGCCATTTTATTAAATTTGTAATAAGTTGATATATTTGCAATAAGTCAACATGTTTTATTTTATGTGGATCTATTAAACACAAATATTTACTTCAATATCTTTTCTATATTTCCTTTCATATTTATTTATTACAGAGGGAATATTAAAAGGAGGAGAGCATGGTGCCAGGGTGGAATCCCTTTCCACATGGCAGACATGGGGAGGAGCTGAGCAAGCAGCAGGCATGAAAGTCTGATGTAAGGGAGGCTGAGCACCTGAATTCCGGCAAGAAATTCGGCTGCCAGCTCCTGTGTGATGGCTGAGGACACTGAGAGAGCAGCAACTCCCCCTCCCACCACATTTCATTGTGTCTTGAAGTCTCTCCTGCAGGACACACAGGTCCCTTGAGAGAAAGAGTCAAGAAGGCACACACTGGCTGCTGACATTTTGTTAGCACGTACTTACACTGCTGACAGGGCCAGTGAAGTGGCTGTGCACCACCAAATCCACTTATTCAACATTCAGCAAATTCCTACTATGTGCCAGGTACTTTGCTGAAAGCTAGGATCATGGAGAGGATTAGATATGACCATACCTTCAGGGAATTCAAAATTCTGGCCAGGGAGAGAAATGCGTTAACAAATAACTATCATGCAATAGCGTAAGTAAAAGAGTGTATTCTCCATTACAACATAAGATTCTAGGGAGCAGAGCAGTGTCCTATTCATCACTGAGGCACCCTGCCTGGAGAGGGCTTGGCAAATGGTAAGCACAGACTCAATGCTGGTTGCGTAAACTAAATAAGAAAGCACATAAGTGCTACGGGTGCCTAGAGGGAGAAGTAGCTCCTCTACCTGGAGGCTCAGGAAAGGTTTCACAACAGAAGGTACAACATATGAGCTGAGTCTTAAAAACTGAGCAGTCAAGCCAGGAAGGCATAAAGCATTCTGTCAGAGACCAGCATGCCCCAAAGCAGAGACACAAGAGAGACCACATTATTCAAAGAATGCAAAAGATTTGCTAAGTTAGAGCTTGGCTTTTACATTAATGAGCAGGAAGATGGAACACTGATGAGACTGGGACCAGAGCAAAAAGGATTTGTAGGTCATGCTTGAGAGTTTAAATTACTATGGGAAACTTCTTAAGAATTCTATGCAGAGAAGTGACGAGGGATCTGTGTTTCATAAAGTTCATTTTGGTAGAACTGGAAGGTATGGCACAAAAGTAAGGGAAAACTTACTGTGTCTACTTCAACAGTTCAGTGTAGTGGTTCTCAACTACTGTAATTTTCTCCCCAGGTAATACGTGGCAATGTCTAGAGATATTTGGTTGTTACATTGGGGGTAGGGGGATGAGGTAGTGCTACTGGCATCTAGGGGGCAGGGGCCAGAGATACTGCTAAACATCCTATAATGCACAGAATATCTCCCCCACAGAGAATTACCAGGCTCCAAACATCAGTAGTGCCAAAGCTAAGAAACCCCAGTCTTGTGAAATGTGACGAGGGTCACAGCTAAAGCTGTAGGAATAAAGAGGGGACTGTTTAGAATAGATCAGGCCAGGAGCTGTAACTCATGCCTGTAACCCTAGCACTTTGGGAGGGTGAGGTGGGAGGATCATTTGAGAGCAGCCTGGACAACACAGTGAGATCTCATCTCTACAAAAAAATAAATTTCAAAAATTATCCGGGTGTGGTGGCACATGCCTGTAGTCCTAGCTATGCTTGAGCCACCATTGGATTCCAGCCTGGGTGACAGAACAAAACATCATCTCTAAAAAAATAAACACACAAACAAATAAATAAAGTAGATCAGGTGGGACTCAAGAACTTATGAATGTCAAAATGAGGTCAAGAATAATTCTGAGATTTCTAGTCAAGTGAATGGATAAGTAGTGGTGCCAGTTAGCAAGGCTGCACAAGATAAGAAAACAAGCAGGCTGAGAGAATGGTAGAAATATCAATTTTCAATATACCAGATTAAAAATCTCAGTAGGACAAGGATAGATTCTCACTTGGTCTAAAAAGTCCCTCCCTGGATTTTTCTAGCTGAAATTTATATAAACATAAAAGTTTCCATTAACTTTCCCACCCCCACTCCTAAAACCCATTCTCACAGTCAACCTGTAAATTCTCTGACTGAGTCTGAAGTAAATCTTATGGGATTTAGAGAAAGACAGAGAACCCACCTGAAAGTGTGGCCATGGCTCTCTGAGCTGTTCCTCGAAGGGTCTCCCCAGGCTGCCACTCTGCTTGGGGCAGCATCCAAACATACTCGTCTCCAAGCTGCTCTCTGACTAACAAGACAAGGTTCCTATCCAGCTTCCGGTGCAATGAGGTTCGATCATTCTTATTATCAGCTTCTGCAAAGGGGTATAAGAAGAGGCAAGAAGATTGTGATCTGCCAGAACCAAGAAGCTTTGAGTTTTACAATCTTCCTTTAACATAATCCTTGTCCTCAAAGACTTATAACCAAATTACAACTCTGACTCATCTAACTCTAATCTCTTTCAAAAAAGTCTCACAATCTTGAGGAAACCCAAAGGTAAGGAAAAAAAATCAAGAGGTGAACTGTTTTGAATAGCAAACTACACTTTGAGACTTTGAAAAAGAAGTAATGCCCACACTAATTCAAACACAACTACTTAACTGGTTTTGATACTTGTTACATAACTTAACTAGCCCCTATTTTCTCTGTTCTTCAGTCTTCATCTGTGAAACAAGCATAATAGAACTCAACTCCCTGCTTTAAGAGGAATTTCAGATAAAACACAGGAACTGGAAGAAAAGGGCTTAATTTCCCCCACTCTCAGTCCTAAACTAGGAGTTAAACACAGATAACAATTCACAAAGTTTAATTGAGAAAGAAAAGGCTATGCCAATACTCTTACCTCCCACTCAAAAATAACACAGTCCTTTTTAAAATTATATTATGGCAGATATGAGCAACAAGGAAAAGAATTTATTTTTCTCCCACCTGAAAGACGTGTTGCTCTTTGAAATTATTTGTTGCTTAAAACACAAAGTAGGGGCAATTGGGAACCTGAATGCCCCTCTTTCCCTTCCTCCTTATTGGCCTAAAAAGATAACAAACCTGTTACACGAGATCCAGGTTTGAACTGTAGGAATGTCTGCTCCCACATATCTTCCAAATCTTGCACCAGCAATATATTCTGGTCATCTTCTTCATCATAGAGGTCAGTTTTCTTCCTTGCCAATCGCTGGCTTTCATCCAGAGCACGAAGCTCATGGTCTGAATACAGGCTTTTCTCTATCTCAATCTGGAAAAATTAAAAGGAAAAAAAAAAAAAGGAAGAAGAATAAAACAAAGCTGTAGTACATTTGACAGGTTCAAAAGGTTGTCAGCCAACATAACAAGACATACAATCAAAAACACCACACAGAGAGAAAACAGACACAAAGAAATAAAGGCCACCTGCATCTTAAACTTGAGTTACATTTGCCAAAAAGTCAGAATGTGATTAGGATCAAGACTACCACAAAAAATAAAGAGCTGAAACAGGCATTGCATGCCCACTTACCACACTCTACTCATGTCACTGTTTCATTAGAATCTCTCTCACCAAGGACTTTCCTGCATCAGGGACTTTATAGACACTGTTCCTTGTTCTTAGAATGTTTTCCCTCACATTGTTTCTCCAGGAATATTCCTACTCATCTTTCTGATCTTAATTTAAATATCACTTTCTCAGAGAGACATTCCTGGACACCTACCACAAAAACCATAATTTGATGATCTTGTTAAACACTTTTATAGTAAGTACCTGTGTTTTCCTTTACAACACACATTGGAGTCTGCAATTAGTCATGTGATTATTTGGTTACTAACTGCCCCCCTCACTCCACTAGACTGAAGTTCTCTGAAAACCAGAACCACATCTATTTTATTTTCTACGGTATCTGTCATTTGACACTGTTTGATACATAGTATGTGCATAGTGAACACCTATAGTATGAGTAGTGCATATATGCCGAGTGAGTAAATGAATAAATCGAGCAAAAAGCACAGAAAAGTTTATATCTCTCAGTAGACCAAGACAAAGACATCTCACAATCTGTGGGAACCTAACACCCCCACAGCCACTACACTGTTTTTGCTCATGTTTTTTTCATTTTCTCTTCACACAAATAGCCCTTTATCACAAGCATCTTACATATGCGTCCACAGCCTCCTGTACTTCCACCTTCTTAATATTCATCACATCACAAAAACTTTCTCCCCTCCAGATTGTGTGCTCCTTGTGACAAGTACAGATTCTTGTTCACCAACGAATCCTTATTGTGATGAATGAACAAGAAGGAGACAATCTCCAAAGAGTTGCCTAAGGTGACAACAAAGACCAATGAAAAGAAACAACTTGTTGAACGCCTTGTGTGTACCAAACCACGTCAGTAGGTACCATTTTGTAGACAAGCACTTAAGTTCAGACAGGCAAAATATCTCGCTCAGGGTCACACAGACTAAATGGTATCGGAGTCGGATTCGAACTTAAGTCCTCCTACTGCTATTGCTTTCTCAAGCCTGAAGCCTGAATTTCAGTCCCACCTGCTGTAGCAGAGCCGCCATCTCTTTCTGCAAGGGGGTCAGAGGCTTGGAGACTCGCGGTGGCCGCTGCAGGCACAACGCACCCAGGAGGCGCCATGGAGATCCGCTGCTTGAGGGCGCGGCCGCAAGGCTCAAGCTGCGAGAACCCAGGCTACCTGCCCAGAGGCTCTCGAAGCGCCGCCAGCCCCCCGCCAACCCTAACAGAGTCCGCCTTACGGGCGCCGCCATCTTTCTGCCTTCCCACAATGTACACCGGCTCTCAGCGGGGACCTCAGCCAATCCCATGTTCCCACAAGGCACCGCGGCAGCAGCCGCTAGCTCGGAGAGAGTTTAGTCCCCCGGAGACACTAGAACGAACCATTCCAATATGGAGGGGTGACTGAAGATCTCAGAGTACTAAAAAGGGGAGATAATTCCCAGGACAACCCGCAACGAAAGTTTTATTGAGAATATAAATGGTAATGAAAATATTTAGTGGGCCTTATTAAGAGCAAGCAGATGACTTTACCTTCTGTCTGCTCCCCCGCAGGCACTCTTGGTACTGGCGCAGGTCCAGCTACGACTACGCTACCGACGAGAGCTAACTAGGGCCAAACTTAGTCATGCAGGTAGTAAGAAATGCTGGGTCTTGGCTTCTGCGGTCCCAGACTTGGCCACGGGCAACCCGGTAACAATAACCGCCCCCTCGAACCCACAGCCACCTCCGGGACTACACTTCTGCCGTGTACCATAAGCCCCTCAGGCCTTAGTGACCTTTAGGCCGTGGCCCTTACCGAGCTTTTCTTTCTTGCAGGGTCGTAGCCGAGGCCCGAACCGTCCGTACGGGCGCTGGCGAGCTCCAGGACGCGGCGGCCAAGCAGGAAGTTGAAGAGAAGGCTGCAGCTCCGAGCCGCAGCGCCTTCAGGTGAGCACCACGTAGGTCCAGACCTCGGGAGACCCCGAGACTCCTGCCTGCCACCCTCCGGAGTCAGAACCAGTGAATTTCCAGCTCACTTGCCATCTCTGGGACCTTATGCAACTCAATCTCTGAGCCTCCGCTTTCTCATCTAAAAATGGAGATAATGCTGAGAGAAGTTATTCTGAGAATCAAATGAGATGAACCCTGGCACAAAGTAGATATGCAGTGAGCATTTGTTGAATGAATGAGTGTCATATGTGCATAATATAGATCCGCTCTCTTTTAAGGTGGATATCGTGGCAGATTAACAACCTTTCCTGCCTCCCACGCAAAATGGGAAGGGGCAATAGCTGGGGAACAAATCGTCATGCACTTGGACTTGGAGAATGTGAATCACCTGTTGCAATGAACCTGAAATTTAAATAGGACTCTTGGTATTTTCTTTTAAATGCTACTTTCTTTTTGTTGGCAGTCTCAGAGTCTTCTGCTGTCTTATCATTGGGTCTTTACCCCTTTTCAAAGAAGTTCCCTAGTGATGTTTAGTTTTTACTTATTTTGGCTAGGGTTAGCATGTGGGCTTACCAGAACTGTGACTGAGACAAGTGTATAGTGTGGGAAAGAGGCGCAGACAGAAGTGGTAAATAAAATAACGGTGGGCCATACACGGAGTAAAATAAGTGTCAGGTTCTGACTTAAAGCCTACCACCAGATGCAGTGGTACAATTGAAATACATCAACTCGGTTGCCACGTACTGATAGGGTTTCAATATGAGTCTGCAAGCAATTAATTTATTATGGTCTCTATGCCGCCAAACCTCACTACTAATATTAATCTGTATTTGCAGCCACTCCCCAGCACTAGCATCACCACTTCAGCTCCACCACAGATCATCAGACATTAGATCTCATAACGAGGGCACAACCTAGATCCCTCATATGCACAGCTCACAGTAAGGTTTGTACTCCTATGAGAATCTAATACTACTAGTGGTCTAACAGGAGGCAGAACTCAGGTGTTAACGCAAGCACTGGGGAGTGGTTGTGAATACAGATGAAGCTTTGCTCTCTCTCACTTGCCACTCACCTCCTTCTGTGCAGCCCAGTTCATAACAGGCCATAGACTGGTAGTGGTCTGGCTTGAGGGTTGGGGACTTAAATGACTGGAAAGATAAAATTGACATTTATTAAGATGGGAGGACTGTGGGAGTTTGGATTTGGGTAGTTAAGCTTGAGGTGCTTTATTCGCATCCAAGTGGAGATACAGTGTAGACTATTAGAAATAGAGTTCAGGACACATGAGCTAGAAATATACATTTGGGAGACATTGTCATATAGATAATATTTCTTTAAAACCACACAATGGGACTGGGCATGGTGGCTCACACCTGTAATCCTTGCACTTTGGGAGGCTGAAGTGGGAAGATCATTTGAGGCCAGGAATTCAAGACCAGCCTGGGCAACAAAGCAAGACCCTGTCTCTACCAAAAAAAAAATAGCAAAATTAGCCAAGTGTGGTGACATGCACCTGTAGTCCCTGCTACTTGGGAGGCTGAGGCAGGAGGATCACTGAGCCTAGGAGTTCAAGGCTGCAGCCTGGGTGACAGAGTGAAACCCTGTCTCTAGATAACACACACACACAAGATGACAAGATTATCAACAAACTACATGTAGATGAGAAGAGGTCCAAAGACTGAACCTTAGAGCACCCTGACATTTAGAGATTTGAGAGATGAAGAACCAGCAAAAGAGATAAGGAATTTCCCAGAGGTAGTAAGAGAACCAGGAGAGCTATTCTGTTTTTTAATATGGTTCAAGATGGGGAGACCAGCTGTGTCAAATGTTGATGTGATAGGTCAATAGGTCAGTGACAGAATTGCTCATTGGATTTAGTAATGTGGAGTTGGTTGGATTAGCATTTTGGGCAGAGTGGTAGGGGAATAGAGAAGTATGTTTTGCTGTTGAGAATGATGCAGTAGAGGGGGAAAAAAACCAGTGATACCAGAGTGGGAACATTGATGGAGTGATGACCTTGAGGGGCTGATACGCAAGTGGAGCATTGTAACAGGAGAGATGGCAAAGACAGTGGGCACAGATGTTTGGTAGTCAGAGCTGGAAGAAATTTTGATTGCTTCTATTTCTCTGTAGAGGTCAGCAGCTGGCACTGAGGAAGCAGGAAAGGGATGGAGGTTTGAGGAGACAAAAGAAGGTATAAGAGAGTCCTTAGGAGAATGAGAGGATAACTGAACTGGGCATGTGCCGTATGATTGCCAGATGGGGCTGAGGGCCCACTTGATGCTAGAGTCATTAAAACAGAGCAGTGCTTCTCAGCTGGGAGCATTTTGGATCCCAGGGTACTTTTAGCAATATCTAAAGACTTCTTTGGTTGTTACAACTTAGGGGACAGTATCTACCGGGTAGAGGCCAGGGATGCTGCTAAAACCTCACAATTCACGGCCTCCCACAGCAAAGAATTATCTTGCCCCAAATGTCAGTAGTGCCCAGGTTGAGAAGCCCTGATGTAGAGAGACCAACTTGGCTGTGTACTTTTCTCTAGCCAGTTGTGCAGGTGTGTGCACAGGCTCTGAGTGGCTGGAGAGATGGATTTACCCAGGGCTAGGAGTTTGTCAGGAGCATACAGTGAAGTAAAAGCAGGCAGAGAGCTGAGGGTATGTGCAAGGGAGTAATTATCATCGTTGGCCACGGGATTTAGTTTGGGTGAGAAGAGAAGTGAGCCCATGAGGAGAGTGAGGGATGGTGGAAAGCTAGCGGGAAAAGTGGATTGTAGGTCCTCGTGGGATGAGGGTGGTAGAGAGAGCAAGTGGATGCACTAGGAGGTGGTGGCCAGAGTGTGGTGCTTGAAACAAGGTTATGATGGGGTTGTAGGTATTTGTAATGACAAGTGCTAGGTATGACCATGAGAGTAAGTAGCCAACGTAGAGGGAAGATACATGAGCAGTAAAGGAAAGGAGGTCGAGAAACAAGCCAGGGGGATGGGAGAATCTTACTGAAATCAGCAATGATATAACAGGAGTCACATTAAGAGAAGTTAAGCTGGAAGCTGTGATCTCTGCATTTATTTGCATTTTTAAAATCATCTCTGGCAGCAATTAGAAAATGGGTTGACTCAACATTTCCCTGCTGTGAGGATGGGTCTGTGATGAGGCAGCAGACCAGTGCCAGAAAGCTTTGTCTTTCCCTTTCGACTTGCTTGGGGTAAGCCACTTGGTTTGTACATCGGACCTGGAAGGTTTAAAGACCTGATCTTGTGTGTCTTCAACTAAATGGTTCAAACTCCAAATCCTTCCCAGTTCCAAACCTTGCTCTATATAAAGGGCATTGGTTACTTTCGGATCTTAGTAGACTTGTGTTTTCTGACCTCTAAATTGATAGGAGAAATTATCAATGGGGAAATGACCATCTTTTAAACATTAGCATCATCTAAGAGACACATCCGCTTTTCATTTTGGCATGTAAACTGATAAGTGAACAACCTGCCAAGGTTCTAAATCATTTCTAAGATCAAGCCCACAGGAAAGAATATACTTGTAATCTAATACCACTGTGCTTTTGTTGTTGTTTTTTAAATATCTCTGGGAAAGCAGGTAGGACTGCAGGAAGAATGGTATTCAGATTATAGTATATTTTCTAAAATGAAATCCATTGTATTTCAGAAAGGTGTGGGAGATCCAAATATGAATATGATGTGTGTGTAGACCTAGTGGAACAGCAGGTTCATTCCATCTCAGATGTTGAAGAACAATTGTGTGTGTTGGAATTTTAAAAAGCACAGCTTGATGAGCACAGCTCCAGACTGAGACATCTCTAGGTCCAAGGGCTTGGCTTTCCTTGCTAACCCTATTCCCCTATTTGTACCTAATTTTCTCCATCTGAAAATAAAGAGTACTTATCTAGAGAAAGCCAGAGAACAGCTTGGTCTAAGGCAGTAGAATGTCTTGAACACAACACAGTGTGTTCTCAACCCTGAGTTTATATCTGAGTCTCCAGGGACATTTGAAAACCAAATTCCCAGACCCCCACTCAGAGGTCTGGGGTGTAGCTTCGGCATCTGGGTGCTTTCCAGGTTACTGATGTTCAGCCTGCATTGAGAACTACTAGTCTAGGGTAGGGGTTGGCAAACCACAGCCCATGGGCCCAATCTGGCTAGTTACCTGTTTTATAAATAAAGTTTTATTGGAACGTAGTCACACCTGCCAATTTACTGTTGTCTGTGGCTGTTTTTGTGATATAGCATCCGAGTGTAATAATTGGGACAGAGACCTCTTGACCAGCAAAGCTTTTAATATTTACCATCTGGCCCTTTACAGATAAAGTCTACTATCTATTCTAAAGGATACTGGATTTTTTATAGTAATGATATTATGATATTGTGCCTCATTTTTTAAAAAGTAGAGACAAAATATTATCTATAGTCCATGAAACAAGAAAACAAGGCCTGGCATGGTGGCACATACCAGAAATCCCAGCACTTTGGGAGGTTGAGGTGGGAGGATTCCTGAACCCAGGAGTTGGAGACCAGCCTAAGCAATATAGTGAGACCTCGTCTCTGCAAAAAATAAAAAATAAAAAAAATTAGCCAGGTATAGTGATGCATGCCTACAGTCCAAGTTACTTAGGAGGCTGAGGTGGAAGGATCCCCTGAGCCCAGGAGGTCAAGGCTGTGCTGAGCCATAATCATGCCACTGCACTCCAGCCTAGGCTACAAGTGAGACCCCCAACTCAAAAAAAAAAAAGAGAGAGAGGTTTGACTAGATTTTTTTAATTGCAGAAGGCACTTATGGAGGACATGAAAATAGTGATATGATTATACTAGCAGGGACAAGGAATATGGGGAGTATGAGTGGAAATATTTTTGTCTTACAGCAGAAAGTCACTAGAAGAGCGGGCATGGTGCTGCACACCTGTAGTCCCAATTATTCAGGAGGGTGAGGCAGGAGGATTGCTTAAGTCCAGAAGTTCAAGATCAACCTGGGCAACATAGTGAGACCCCATCTCTTAAAAAAAGATAGAAAGTCACTAGATGGGTCTAATACCGACAAGCCAAGAAATAGCCTTATAAGCACAATAGGCACAAATATGGCGGTAGCACCAGAAGGAGCAAAAAGAAATGGTGGGGGCAGCTACCCCAGGAGGGCAGAGGCTTGTTTTTCATTATGGGTTCATCTGTACTATTTGATTCTTTAAAATCATGTTCTCTATTTCTTTGAATTAAAAAAAAAACCAGTACCATTTTAAATGAACTGTTCCTTCTAATTGCAGCATTTACCCTCCCATGCCAGGAGAGGAGAGCCCATTGAGGTGGGCAGAAAAGAAATTTGAGGAGATCCCCATTGCACACATTAAAGCGTCCTACAACAAGTAAGTGGGGGAAAGCACCTGAGCAGGTGTAGTGTGGGTGACTTTCTGCTTCACGGGGGACATTAAGGTTAGCTCTGGATACCCCTGGAGTAGAAATCAGGATGCTCGTGTGGAGGTCCTCAGGCTCGCTTCTTGTCTAGGGAAGCTACCCACTGCCTTTATAAAGTGTATTCAAGCTTCATGAACATGTGAAATAGGTTGGGCTTATCATATCACAGGGTCTGTTTGATTTCCTTGGAAATAGTGCTTTCTGGTTTTGCTCAAGGGTTGGAAAGGGTATATTAGGGGCAGGAAGTCCCACCATGAAAGTATTGATTAAGTGCTACTGAGTAATTGGGAGTAGGAGACAGATGATATATAAATAAGAAGAAAGATGATTTACAAGTACGTGATTTGTTAATAAACTAACCAGAATGTAAGGCTCCAGGTGCTGTTCCTTTAAAGCCATGAGCGTGCCACTGCACTCCAGCCTTGTAGGGCTAAATGCAAATGGTAAGTTTAAAGTGATGAGACTGGTGTTCTTGTGTGGCTTCCTAACAGGTGCCAGGGGCATTCCCAACCATGTGTTGGTACCGAAAGCACTACTGGTGTTAGTGATAACTCTGCAGGTCAGCCCCTACTTGGGAACGGGATCCATGTTTGGTTACAGCCTGCCCACCAAGCAGTTTAGAGAACAGCACAAGAGAGGATTTTAGTCATGGACTAGAGTGTGTGGCACAGATTAAATGCTGTAGGATTCATTTCAGCACTCAACAAATAAAATGAGAGCAACTGGATATCTTTTTCTTCCTTTCTCAGGCTAATACGGACATGGGTTAGCTCTCTGCATTTTATATATATTTATATATATATATATTTATGCCTCCACATACATACATACACATACATGAGATCTGACAATTAAGTGTGCGAACCATCCTGGAAAAGGTGTGCCATACCTCATTGCTGAATATCACTACGGTCACCTTCAAAGTAATCCCTTGGGAAGCTATGCACTGATGCCATCATCTAGTCCACCCATCAAAGCAGTTTTGGAACTCTTTCTGGAGTGGCCATCAGAGCTGCCATTGTTATCTATTGCAGTGTGACAATTAAGTTTGTGAACTTGGAACCATGCACTTATGTTGGCAGCACTGTACAAATAACTATTGGAACACCTTCCCTACTCTCTTGATCTGGCTTCCAATGACTTTCTTCTTTACCCAAAGATTAAGGAAGTATTGAAAGGAAGACATTTGACAGCATTCAGGACATCAAGGGTAATATGATGACAGCGCTGATGGCCATTCCAGGAAAAGAGTTCCAAAATTGCTTTGATGAGTGGACTAGGCTCTGGCGTGGGTACATAGCTTCCCAAGGAGAGCACTTCAAAGGTGACCATAGTGATAGTCAGCAATGAGGTATGTAGCACTTTTCCTAGGATGAGTTTGCAATCTTAATTGACGGACCTCATATATATATGTGTGTATGTATGTATGTATGTATGTATTTATTTTTTTAAGATATGGGGTCTCATTGTGTTGTTCAGGCTGGTCTCGAACTTCTGGGCTCTAGCGATCCTCCCACCTTGGCCTCCCAAAGTGCTAAATTACAAGCATGTGCCACCATGCCCAGTTCTGCAGTTTTTTTAAATGTCTATGGTCTACTCTCAATACCACTGTTTAGGCTATCTCAGGCAAGCAATTATCTTATGCTTCTATTTCGTGTAGAAAACCCTAGAAGCCCTGGTAGGGAGAAGTAGCAGAGCCACAACCAGACCAACAAGCAGCTGGCCCAAGACCAGGGCTGACCCAGCAGGTTATTTCCCTCTTCTTTGAGCACTCGGGGAGCTCTCCAAACCAGAACATAAGGGGACAATGACCAAAGGGGGAATGGAAAGCATGTTTCTTAAAGTCATTCTTAGTCATTTAACTTGTTCAAGTTAGAGGTGATTGAGAAAAATGTTTCACTTATGTAAAATAATTTTTGATTATGGAACAGAGTGTCATAAGCATCAAAACTATCCGATATGGTAATATTGCTAACTTTTTAAATAATGGCTAAGAGTTTTTTAAAGAGCCCTGGCTGGGTACAATGGCCCACATCTGTAATCCCAGCACTTTGGGAGGTGGAGGCAAGAGGATTACTAGAGCCCCAGGGGTTTGAGACCAGCCTGGGCAACTTGGTGAGACTTCGTCTCTACAATAAAAATAAAAAAAGTTAGCCAGGTGTGGTGGCACACACCTGTAGTTCCAGCTACTCGGGAGGGTGAGGCAGAAGGATTGCAGCTGCAGTAGCTGTGAGCATGCCAGTCCACGCCAACCTGGGTGATAGAGTGAGACTCCCACTCAAAAAATAAATAAAAAACAAATGAAGAGTCTTATCTTTTAGAGCTATATACTGAAATATTTACATATGAAATGGTAGGTTAGGTCTGGGATTTGCTTCAAAATAATTCTTGGTGAGGGGAGTAGGAACAGGGTTTATAGGTGAAACTGAATTGCATGTGAGTTGCTAATTTTTGAAGTTGGCTGATGGGTCTGGGAGTTCATGTTATTCTGTTCACTTTTGTGTATATTTGAAACTTTCCCTAATAAAGTCTTTTTTTAAATTACCTGATGTGAAACATCTCATTTCATAGGAAAAAAAGGCCAGGCAAGGGCATCACAGCTAATGTAGTTACTGGCTACAGGAACGACACTAGGAGAAAAACACGCTATGCTTTTCTGGATGACGCTTACCCACCCTCAGGTTATGGAGCGCTCTACATGGCATGATATGTCCATTTTTTATTAGGTTCAGAGGAGGTTCTCGCCTTTCCTGACACTTCCTATAGGAATTCAAAACACATTCATCTCACCGCACTCCAGCCTGGGTGACAGAGCAAGCCCTGTCTCTTAAAAACACAAAAACAATCCCCATCCATCCAATAAGCTTCAAGTGGAAGCAGCTGCATTTCTTTTTCTCTTCTCTCTCACTTCCCCAGCAACAGTTATATCCTGTGTGCCTCCCTGTTTCTCCCAGTACACAGATCCAGGTGGTCTCTGCCACTAACCAGCCTCTTGCCCGTACATCCTGTGGCACAGAGGGATTTCGAAATGCCAAGAAGGGCACGGGCATCGCAGCACAGACAGCAGGCATCGCCGCAGCCACGGTAAGTGTGTGTTGTTTCTACTTCACACTGTGGTGCGTTCGCTTTCTGCATGGCTGAGCACCGTGTGGAGAATTTTCATTAAACCAGCCATTCCCCTTGCTAGGTGCCATGACATTGGAAGTGGTTTGAAGAGGTTTATGTCAAAAGGCTTCCCTTTTTTTCTTTCTCTTGGCTTCATTAGAGGTGAAGCACTTATTGGCTCATTCTAGGAGAATTCTAGAAGGTAAGAACCAGAATCCTGAAGCCTTAAGAACCACACCCCCTCGATTTAGAAACTAGTGGCAGAGGAAGGTATAATAGTCTATTTGCAGAGGATGTGGTATGGTGAGCACTCTCATACAGTATCATAACTGTTGCAGACCTCTCTAGAAGCAAATTGACAGTGTGCTGCTGTTGGTGTATTTATTGAGCATCTACTATGTGCCACTTTACCTTCATTATCGTGATTCTTCAAAGGACTCTCAGTATTGCCCATCTTTCCAAGAGCCAGTTGAGACTCGGAGTGTCTGACTTGCTCAGAGCCAGTTTCATCCCTGGTTTAAAACCGATCGGTCTGAGACCAAACCCACATACTTTCTACTGTAGCACAGGCCTTGCAAATGTTCATACTCTGCCAGGCCAAATGTATTTCCTGAAGGAAAACCTTGACCTTCAAACAAAGGAAGACACCTAAAAATATTGATTGCTGTATATTAATTATCATCAAAAATCAAAATGCTGTAAATGCCAGACAATGGACAGATCATATACAATTAAAAGAAATAACGTCAGTGTTTACAGTTGGCTTCTGCTCGGTGAGTCATGAGTGACTTCTGTGTATTTTCCCTTTTTGGAATGAACTGCCTTTAAACCAAGAAAGAAAATTTTAACTCTAAAGATTTTAAATGATAACACTTTTTAAGTGGGTATCAGGTTCAACCTTGCAGTCCACGGTGGCACTTCATGGTCTGAAATTCTGCATTTGCCCACCTGAGAAAAGCCCGAGTGATGTCTAGCGATCTCCATTAGGTGGCAGTGCTCTCCTGGGCTAGAGGGATCACAGTCACTTCAATTCTGTGACTTGGTTCTGTGGCCACTGCTGGTGTCCGTCCTCCACTGCGGCCCTCCGCCTGCCTCCTTGTCTTCTGTCACCCGTTTCTGTGGTGCCCTTTCCCAGAGCTCGTAAGCCTCTTGCTTCAGGAGATGGTATACTAGTCTGGATGCGTTAGTCCTATGGGGCACTGACCACTTGCTGCTTCTCTCCAGAAAGCTACAGGGAAGGGTGTGACCCACGTCCGAGTTGTGGTGAAAGGCCTGGGGCCAGGGCGCTTGGTAAGTGACCATGATTCTCCAACGTATGTGTTTTCTTCTGTAGTTAGAGAAATTGGGGCTTGAGAGCAGAGTATAGAATTCTTAGTGGATTCCCGGGACGGCTTGAAGTGTCTTTCTGTTGTTCCTATAATCTAGCTAGCTTCCCCAAAGAGGGGACAGCTCTGTGACTTTGCAACGGTGAGGTATTGGAGGGGAAGCGAACGGGAAGGAGGACATTCCAGGCAGACGAAACTGCTTATATAAAACTACAGAAGTGTGATACAGAAGGTATGCCAGGGCCCACAAGGAGTCTTGGTTCTCAGATTGTAAAACACTAGGTAGAAAGTGCAGGTGCGATCTGAGAGGAAGGCAGTGTTGAGAACTTGATCAAGGGGTTTGGATGGAGATCTTAGTGAGAATAGAATAGGATTGAGGTATCAAAGCCAGCTGGCCTCCCGCAGCCTCCCTTCCCTACATTGCCTCACCCTTCTCGGAGTCCTGTCTGGAGATGCTGGCTCATTGTTTCTGAGACTGTGCCATTCTGCTCTTCCTTCTGCTCCTTCCAGTCTGCCATCAAGGGACTAACCATGGGGGGCCTGGAAGTGATCTCCATCACAGACAACACCCCCATCCCACACAACGGCTGCCGCCCCAGGAAGGCTCGGAGGCTGTGATGGAAAGGAAGCCTGCACTTGAACCTGACCACAAATCTCATGTGGACCTTCTAGAAAGTTCACTGTCAGAGCCCTCTCCAGAACACGACTGTTGGAGATCCTTCAGGCAGTAAGGGGGAGGTTTACTCCTTGCACAGTAGTGTTTGCTCGCGCCTCCAACTAGAAATGAGTGTCCCCAGAAGTGGGCTTTGCCTCGCTTAGACATGAGGGGAGCCGCAGGGGCAGCTATGACCCAAGCTCCAACCACTACTCTGAGAAATAAAAGAATATCTTTATTATCTGTCGTTATTTTGAGTTTTTTGCGTTCAGAGTTACAAAAAGTAAGACCTACTTCCTACTGAAAAAGAGAGTGTGATTGAAGTGAGACCCTAGATGGACAGGTTAAGTGCAAACGTGAGCTGCTGGAAGCTATTTACCAGACGCCTTCTTTGGTTTCAGTTATTTCTTTTGTAGCTCTTTAACCAAGGTTTCTAGAGCCCATCATAGTAACTGTTCTTATTAATGACTTGTAATTTGGCCCCCAATTGAAAGCTCTCTGCCACCTACCTCTGCATTCTGATAGAAGCTTTCACCCTTGTGCGCATGTTTGAAACTAACCCCTAACAGTGCAGGATCTTTTACATGTGGACAATCAGATATCCCCCACACTGAAGTCATTTTTTATACCAGGGTCCCCAACCCTTAGGCCATGGACTGGTACCAGTTCGTGGCCTGTTAGGAACTGGACCATACAACAGGAGGTAAGCAGCTGGCAAGTGGAGCTCCGCCTCCTGTCAGAATAGTGATAACATTATATTCTTGCAGGAGTGCCTCCCTATTGTAAACCGCGCATGTGAGGGATCTAGGTTGCATGCTCCTTAGGAGAAAATAATGCCTGATGATTCCCCAATCCATTCCCTTCCACCAATCTGTGGAAAAATTGTCTTCCACGAAACCAATCCCTGATGCCAAAAAGGTTGGAGACTGCGTTTTATTATATATGCTCCTTGGGCTTCGGCAATCCCAACACTAAAGAGGGAGTGGCCCTAAAGTGGGGATAGTAGAGTTGTTAAAATAGAGAATTCTCTAGAAAATAGATTGGGTGACAGGAAGGGCTTCCGTGGAACCCAAATCAAGAAGTACAGAAAGCATGTTGGTGTGGAACCGGGTAGTGCTGACAGGTAGGCACCACTCAGGACCCACAGGCAGGACTGCTCCTCACTTGAGGCCCTGGGGTTCCTGGATACAGCTCAGAAGCCAAAGGTGAGGGCTCTAGAAACATGGCAATAGAGACCCTTCTTCCACAGACAGAAGGCCAAGGGTGAGAGTGTCACTAAAAGCTAAATGAAAAGGATGGTCAGGCACACAAAAGCCCTGTTCCTCCCAGAGGCGTACAGGAAGGGCCTGCTGACCAGAAGGAAAGACACCAGGGCATTTTCCTTCGGTTCCTTGCCAGCTAAGCCCTGTGATCTTAGAACTCAGTGTAGCCAAAGTCACAAGTGCCCCCTTAAATAGGCAAGAGCCTGTGTTAGGGCTAGAGAAAGGAGATAGATCATTAACCCAGACATGAGTTTAAAAGGAAAACGCCTCCCTCCTTTTTCTTTCATCCTTAGCAATCTTGTGACCAGTGACCACAAAATCCCAACTGGAGGCTTCTTGTATTAAAGCCATGGTTGGAAAGAGTTACACCATGTGGACCATAAAACTACATACAGTAAGTCCCCCACAAACAAGTTCCATTCCTAGAGCACGTGTGAAGTCCAATTTGTTCATAAGCCCAACAACTTGTAAAGGATGCACACACATGACAATGTACACCAGACATGTGCACTAACTTATGTGATTGGACATGTGAACGCACATTTGCATCTTTGAAAGTTCTCAACTTAAAGGTTTATATGTAGGGGTTTACTGTATAAACACAATGCATAAAAACACAGGGCTCTTGAGAATTGTGCTCAGTGATTTGATATGGTTTGGCCTTTATTCAGGTGGACAGAGGGCCTGGAGCAGTTGGGTGGTGGCTCACCGTTGAGGAACCAAGCCAGGGCACAAGCAAGAAACAGTTCAGAAGGTTAAAAAAAAAACTTCATAGAGGTTCTTTGCAGGAGAACGTGCAAGCCTAGGGAATAAACAAAGGGGATGGAGCTGAAATCCATCCCACCCTAGGCCCAGAGGGGCCAGGGAAGGAACAGTTACAAGAACCTGGCAGGAGCCACAGTCACAGAGGAACACAGCCTCCGCCAAAACCGTGACCTGCTGGAGAGGGAGGAAATGGCCCTGGCTGTTCCTGCTTTCTGGATCCTTGCTGGGGTTCCCCTTGCCTGAAACCAAAGGAAGCAAGATGGCAGGGGAAACCAGAGGTGTGGTCCTCAGGGCTCGTCCTCCCAGGCCACAGAGTGGATCTGGAGGAGTGCATGGAGGACCGCAAGGGCAAGAGGCTTCTGTGCTACCTGGAAGTGAGGACTTCCATATGCCATGGCAAGAGAACCTTGAGAAGAAACAGACTGCCCAGGAGAATCTACAAGCAAGGACACTGAGAACTCTAAAAGATCAATGGTCAACCAAGCGCAGTGGCTTACCCCATAATCCCAGCACTTTGGGAGACAGAGGTGAGAGGATTTGAACCCATGGGTTCAAAACCAGCGTGGACAACATGGCAAGACCTCGTCTCTACAATAAATCAAAAAAGGAGCCGGGCATGGTGGGACATGCCTGTAGTTCCAGCTACTTGGAAGGCCGAGGTGGAAGAATCACCTAAGCCCAACAGGTTGGGACTATGGTGGCCGTGAGCATGCCACTGCACTCCAGCCTGGGCAACACAGTAAGACTCTGACTCAAAATAAATAAATAAAAGGCCAATGATCTTGGGTCCAGAACCCCCAGGAGATAGTTGGGGCTGGGCTACCTTTTTCAACATGTACAGGAAAATGCACACTCCTTTATTATGAGCTTTCTGTGCATTGTTGTTTCCAGGCTCTGGGTGGCCAATAAAATGGGTGCTCTCTTAAACTGGATTACCTCTTTATTTTTTTTTTGAGTTGGAGTCACTCCATTGCCCAGACTGGAGTGCAGTGGCACGCTTCCGGCCACTGCAGCCTCGACCTGCTGGGCTCCGGTGATCCTTCCACCTCAGCCTTCTGAGTAGCCGGAATTACAGGCACACGCTACCACGCCTGGCTAATTTTTGATTTATTGTAGAGATGAGGTCTCGCCAAGTTGGCCAGGCAGGTCTCGAACCCGTGGGCTCAGGCAATCCACTCACCTCGGCTTCCCAAAGCACTGGGATTACAGGCTGAGCCACCGAGCCCGGCCTAAACTGGATTACCTCTTAATCGTTTGTCTTGGTCTCTCCTCCCCACCCCTTTGGAGAGACTAAGGAACCTTTACTGAAGGCTGACCAATTGAGGCAGTTATTATTTACTGAAAATGCTGAGGTGCCCTGTCCTTGCTGCCACAGCCCTTCCCAGCAGCACGTCTCTCCTCACGGGTGAAATGTGTGCTTGCAGTTACCCCAGGCAGAGAGAGGCAGAGCCTGGCATTTGGGTCCCAAGTATTTGCACAAGCAGGGTGTTGGCATCAGCTTGTGTGACACACGTCCTTGTTTTCTGGCAGCAGGGCCTTGGATTATTCTCTGGATGCATCTGCAGTTTTGCTTGTAAAGTTGATTGCACAGGCCTGGCTACATAAGGGAAGGCTATCTTTCCCTACACAAGCAAAAAGACAAATGCAGTTTCTTTCCTTTCAGCATAGATGCAGTGTTTTCCCTTCTTTCTGCCAAGGCTATCACCTGATGCCAAGGCCAAAATAAGTCTGTTTAACACTGGAGTCCCTGGATGCTCGCAAAACATCACTTGGCACTTTGGGAGAAACCATTTCCCAGTTGCATCTGCCTGCAACCTGGTTCTGACACAGCCCTTAAAAAATGCATATACAAGAGGGATCCCCCCAAAAAACAATTATTTTTTAGAGGGCGAGCCCCTTGTAGTACAACCTTCCTCCCCAGATAAATGTTCTAGGAACCCATCAGCATCAGTAGACCAGCTGGCGTTGTTGTGAGAGGCTGCATTCTGCTTCAGCAATTTTTTTTCTTTTCTTTTTCTTTCTTTTTTTTTTTTTGAGATTCTTTCAACAAGTCTGCCCATTTTATGATGGGTGATTTACACAAACAACCTGCCTACACTGCCTTGGGTGTTCAGCAATTTTTTTTTTTTTTGATTTATTGTAGAGATGAGGTCTCGCCAAGTTGCCCAGGTGGGTCTTGAACCCACGGGCTCAGGCAGTCCATTCACCTCAGCCTCCCAAAGCACTGGGATTATAAGCTGA